GCTGTAATCTTGGGCACCTGCCTAATCATCAAGTTAAGAAAAAAACCTTTTCCAAACAAATTTCAATGTCAGCTCTTTTAGAATATCAGAAACCGCTTTACATGTTAAAGCTTATGTCAGATGTGAACAGACAGTTCAGATCTTTTCAAGTGTWGTTCTGTAAAAAAGTTATGAACATTTTTGTTGCAAACGGCTTCTTGAACACCGGCTTTATTCCTCATATATAAATATATATTTTTAATCGCTCTTCAAAAGATGTGTTTAACTATAAAATATTAAATAATCTGATAGATACAAACTAAACCTTAATGCCTGATTAATTTTACAGCACTAAAAGTCAGATATGTGAGAAATAAAGGGTGGCTTTAGAGTTGCCCCACTGCCCTGCAGCACAATCATCTGGAGACTCGCCAACTGCTCACATTCCTTCCTTTCTTTGAGAACCGAGGGATCTGAGGCGGCAGCTGGACGACGGTGGCATCAGGATCCCAGTTATTAAACTGGAATAAGAAGACAGGTAAGGAGGAGGGGAGAGAGAGAGAAAGACCAGAGGCAGGAGAGAAAGAAAACCCAGCAGATTACCCCTCCCTTAATGTTTTACTGCCTCTCTCAGAGTGTGATTGTCTGGGAGGGAGGGATTCAGCTGGCAACCCCCTGAAAGAGATGGAAGTCTGACCTGATCCGTGCTTGAACTGTTGGTTGCTTTTACAGGCAAGGAGCTGGACACAGAAGACAGGAATTTCCAGGGCTCCTGTGGTGGGATGGCACTCCAAACCTYTCGCTCTCAACATCACAAGCATGAGTGAGGAAGACCAGGATTAAACACACTGAAAGGAGTCAGTTCAGTTCTACATTTGGACTCCTGGATCTGACCCCCCCTCCTCTCCTCGTGATGCGAGCTCGTGTTGAGGTTGCTTGTTGGTTGCTGCTGTTTTCTRCTCTTGGACACAATCACCTGGTGGCTGGTGGTTGTTCAGGGAGGTGCTGCCGGGGCAGAGACCTGAGCTGCTCGGCCACCGACTGGAGGATGGRTCGTGTGTACGGGAAGTGCTACTGTGACGAGGACTGTGTCAAAACCAAGGACTGCTGCTTTGACTACTTCACAGAGTGTCCAGGTGAGCAATGAAGGCAGGGTAAATGAATCACAGAAGAGCTTAACTTGATAACCAAAGCTTAGAAAAGTATCAGTATTTAGTCAGAGCTGATTCTATTCTACATGGTCTAAAATGTCAAATTTGATCTTAATCAGTGTACCTCAAACAGCTCTGTGCCTGAGCCCATTTCAATGGACTGCCCTACATAACGGAATTAGTCCAAATATTTAAAGAATGTGAATGTCAATCAGTTGTAGCAATTACAGCTCCAGTCAAACAAGCTGAGCGTACTTAATACCTGTTATAKCCTCCAAATCTGCACATCTAATACTTCAAAGCCTGGCCATTAAGTACAGAGTGCAACTGGGAAAAAAAAAGAGAAACTCAGAGGATGTKACTGCTGAATGGCTGTTGAGCTGGCAAACTCTCAAATCCTTTCAAATAGAGCAGAAAACATTAGTTGCACAAGTWCTTGTCCATGCTTCATTAATCTGAAGTTATTTCCTGAATATTTAGCTTCGTTAGATCGGTTCACATTAATACGATTATACAGTCTACAAGAAGAGATCAAAGTTTGCACATTCAGCCTGAAGTCCAATGTTTTTTTTAAGTTTGTCTTGTATCTCAGAGGATAATGTTTCTTCCTTACGGCGGGTGCCGGTGTTTAGCTCAGGACTGTGCTGTGAGCAGCTGGAGCTTTTGGAGTGGTTGTGCCCAGCCCTGCCAGACTTCGGTAAGAGTCCGGGTCCGTCACGTAGAGCAGCGGCCCGGCAGAGGCGGTGAACCCTGTCCCAGGCTGGAGGAAAGGGCAGGGTGCCTGGAGTACAGAGACCACCAGAGCAGCCCCTGTAGGCTTGATTCAGGTTTGGTTACACCTCTAAAGTGCCTTTGCCAGATTTCAAGGACATCATCTCCCCGGTTCAGCCTATTTGTAACCCACTATTTGGTTCAACTAAATAAACATCAGTTTGTTTCCTTTCCAAGGCCCTGCATTCATTACAAGCATGGAGTTTGGGAAAAGAAGGCCCAGTCACGACAGCTATGGAAACCCTCTGGACCATGGGTAGGTTTTATATTATCTGAAACCTCTGTGTGACCACAAACTGTTCATTGCTTTTATGTCAAGGAGGTAAACTGTAACCCAGCTTTGTTCCATCTACATGAGCTACCTTTGTTTGTCCACCTGGCTGTCTGAGTAAAGACCATTAAGTGTGACAATGTTGAGCGACGGCCCACAATCCTTTGAAACTAAATCCTGAGGATCGTCACATGAAAAGCAAGCACACCAAAGGTCTAATTGTAGGGATGGTATTGTGTGAGGAAGTAAAAAAATACTAAGACTGGGCGATGGCCTGTTCTTGTTATGCCACCTCTTGTTGTTTTTCAGTCAAGACTGTGCTGTTTTCTGACTTCTATGACTTCAATCCTCTCAGATTTTGTGTGGAATTCAAGCTAGACTCACGGACTCCCCACTGTACGGTGGAGAACCAGCCTCACACACACTGGATGCGCTACATTACAGAAGGCTTTAAAGTATGTGTGGCTTGTGAACCTCCTGCTTTGCGTAACAGAAGTGGCAGCTGCCAAGGAGACGGCCAGGAATCAGATAAGTATGAAGCTTTTCCCTCCTTAGGTGGCTTTTAAAAACACTTAAAACATTTCTAAGACACATGTTCATTGGGTTGCAAAGAACCATCCCTACTGGTACTTTTCTAATCTATTGCTTTACAGTTTGGAATTTAAATTTGATTGGGTTGGCTTATTGTCATGTGCAGGTTACCACAAGTTACTGCAATGAAATGCTATAAACTTGCTATAAAAATTGAAAGTACTAATATCATGCAATAGAAATGTTAATTACAAAGTACAAAAGAAATATGGCAAACAATATAGTAAAATATAACGGTGCAGGTAGGATGCCGTATGGAGTATTTCACAGGTGGTAATATTACTTGTATAATTATATTGCACAGGTTGTGTAGCAGGTTATTGCTCTGGTAAACATGAGTTGTAAGGTAGTGACACCGATGGATATATTGATGGTCGCAGGTGTAGTTTGGTGCATTAGTTTATAAGTAATCCTACAAAAAAATACTTCAAATTAATATATTTTAATAGGAGAGAAATATTTTAAATAATGAAYCTAAACTGAAAAATATGTGTGTATATGTAGGATTCCTAAACTCAATTCYAGTGGTGGGCAGCACTAATTTAGTTCCACTAGCCCTAAAGCACTAACTCAAATATTTAGGTCCCCTAATTCTAAAGCACTAACGCACTGAAAATTCGAACAAAAGCTAATTCTAAAGCACTAAAATAACCCAGTCAACCCATGAACATTCTTCAACAGACAACATGAGTCACATGTTGCCATGTTGCCCTTTCAATACTTATCATTGACATTCCACAGCTGTATTTGGGTTCATATAGTGTCACCTGGTGGATACAGTAAGTGACACAAATGAACAAAATGATTAGCTTTCAACCTCAGCTGTTAACATTTACGTTGATCCATAACATTTATAGACCTCAGTTAGTGCTTCTAAATTTAGCAAGTGCTAATCCACTAATAATTTTTAAAATGAGCAAAAACCCCAAAGCACTGATTAGTTCCCCTATTAGTGCTTTAGTGGAACTGTGCCCACCACTGCTCAATTCTACATAAAGCCACCTTTTACAAAAGTTCTACATCAAGTGTTTCAGTTCAGTTCAATTCAATTCAATTCAAAAATACTTTATTGATCCCAGAGGGAAATTAGGTGTTGTAACTCATTTAACTAAAAACTTAGTGTAGATGCTGATGGCTGTGGGCAGGAAAGATCTTCTGTAGCGTCTGTATTACAGCGAAGTTGAAGAAGCCTCCGACTGAAGACACTTTGTCTTTCTATGACAGTCTGATGAAGAGGATGGTCAGGGTTGTCCACAATGTTCTTGATTTTATGTAAAATCCTTCTTTGCACCATCATCTCCAGAGATTCCACAGTCGTCCAAAAAACAGAACCAGCCTTCCTTATCAGGTTGTTTAGCCTTTTTAGGTCCCTGGCTCTGATGCTGCTGCCCCAACAGATGATGGCAGAAGAGATGACACTCTCAATAACAGACTTGTAGAAGATCTGCAGCATCTTGCTGCAGACATTGAAGGATCTCAGCTTCCTTAAGAAGTACAGTCTGCTCTGTCCTTTCTTGTAGACTGCTTCACTGTTGAGTCTCCAGTCCAGTCGTCCAGATGAACACCGAGGTATTTTAGTTACGTGTGTATGAGCGCAGTACAATTATCCACCTTGGAAATTATGTTCATTGATGACCAAACCGCAGAAAGAAGAGGTTCAATCGTCAAATTAAACCAGAGATTCTCAGTTGGATTGAGGTCTGGGCTTTGACTGGTTATGTAACAAGTTCTTAGGGTCAGCATTAGCTCACATCAGCGCCCGATAYTTAAACACAAAAAACGTCCATCATATAGGCATTAATTGCAAAGTGGCAAATGTCGAGTTTTTCGGGCGATTAACTGCAAACGATACAATCTTACCTAACCCTACCACAGCATGATGTTGCCACCACCATGCTGCACAGTAGGATGGTGTTTGTACTAACAAATGTRGCCTTTGAAGGCACTGATTGGGACTTAATAGGGCCTAATACATATACACATCTGTTCCATATTTTAAAGCATTTTCACAATTTAACTTAAAAGTACTTTGCTCAAGAACAAAAATTGTTATTAAATTCCAGGTTGTAAGGCAATAAAATGTTTTTGCAACCCACTGTAAATATACAGAAGGTTAAAACTATAATACTTTTCCTGCAGTTTATCCGTGCCTGAAGAGATGCTGGATCATCGTCTACTGCAAATCTATGAAAACACAAAGCTGCTGTACAGTAAAGTGATGTGAAGCTAATGAAATCTAACTGTGTTGCAGTGAAGCTGTGCTCCACTGGCAGGCAGTGGGGACTCCTCAGTGCAGAGGGACATGGAGGAAAGTCCAGAAAACTCCAAAGTGCACATGTCCAACACAACACAGATTCGTCTTCACCTGATTCTCTGAGGATACGCAGAAACACCTGACCTGATGTGTGCTGATCAGACGCCACAACACGGGATTACRACAGAGACTGAAAACTTGACAGGAAATGGATGTTGTTAGAATGTTAATATGCTGCACAATGATTTAGAAGCATATGAGTCACCAAAAATTCAACGTGTTCTTTTAATATTTCATAAACCCACAAAGTATTTCATTTTTATTATTAAAATACCCACAAAGCTGACTTTTTTGTTTTTAAAAAAAAAAAAAACTCTTTGCCTTTGTCTTGAGCACCCTCTTGTGGTAAAACGGATAAACACAGAAATGAAAAATAATCTGTACAACAAATATAGAACTTTTCAATTAAAAACTTTAGCAAAAAAAAAAAAAAAAACTAGACAAGTAATTTTATTTACAAGCAAACGGCTACATAACGCAGACTGGGGACTCCTTCTCCTCATTCCACTTCACGAGTCTTTATCAAAATTCTCCAGCGGTCTTTAAGCATCGTACCAGTTCGTCCCTTGAAGTCGTAATCTTTTAGGATGAGGGACCACTTTCCTACTCCGTGACTTTTCACGCCGTCTTTCAGATATTTATCCAGTTGTGAATTCCATTTCTAAACGATACAAAACAAGAACTCTTATCTCCATTTCCAAGAATTCAACTTAAATGAGTATAGAATAATATAGACTTTGCGGTTTGGCTTACCATTCGTGTTCTTTTCTTGTTTTTCCTGTAAGTTTCAACCGAGGTCTTCAAAGGCTTTGCAGTGGTTACCTGAGATAACTCTGATGCCAGAAGAATTAAAATAGTTTTGTTTTTAGTTATTTTTACGGTAAACATTCAACAGAAATGATTGAAATCAAGATGGCAAACAGAAGCAAACCCATACCATGTTTGGAGAGTCGTTTGATGGAAACACAAGGCGACTTGAAGGCATCAGGCGTAGAGAAAATAGCATTTGTAGAAGGCAGTAGTTTCCGTTTTGTTCTGTGAAAATGGGACAATTCTTTTAGCCACACACAYAATACACAATACATAAAGTGTCAAGCAGGGGTGTGAGAATATCGTTTCTTACTTTTTGTTCTTTGGAACTGATTTAGTCGGTGATTCTGAGTCACTGCTGTCCTGCGACACCACATCCTCCAAACACTCCAAGTTTCTGGAAGGCTGGAGCACCTCTGTGGCTGCCTGATACACAAGGATGTGTGCAGAGGGAACAACACCTCACATTTTTCTAATCTGATTCAAATTTGTTTTTCAAAAGTCTTATTAACTAACTCTTCATCAATTCCAGTAAGCACGTTAAAGTTTGTTAAACAACAAACTTGAGACAGAAAAGGTACAAAACAACAAAAAAAAAATGAAATCACCTTGCGATACTGATACAATATTTTGTTCTTTGGAACTGATTTAGTCGGCGATTCTGTGCCACTGCTGTCCTGTGACACTTCGTCCTTCACACGTTCCATGTTTTTGGAAGACTGAAGCACCTCTGTGGCTGCCTGATGGAGAAACAAACTTCAGATACATTCATTTATGGACGCCAGCTAAGTCTGGATAAACTCATTACAAACATATCTGTTATTACAATACCGGGTAAATTTTCCTAACTGCTTTCTGTAGAATAAAGATTATACAACAATGTCTTAAACAACACCATACGATTTTAAAATTCTGTGAAATTAAACGAATAAAATTATTTAAAAGTTGACCTTTTTTTTGTAATTCAAATTTTTATTGATTTTCTGAATATTATCTCACATAAAACACAAATACAGAACAAAAAC